ACGTTCCCCATGTTCTGAATGCCCAATTTTAGGTTCAGGCCAGAGACAACAAGACCATATATTCCAAGAAAACATAAAAAAATGTAAGAATTGCAGAGATGGGTACCTGAGGGATTTTGTCAAGAGTCAATTGTGAGGATTCTAAGCCCAATGAACCAGTTGCTTCTGCAGCTGAATTGGGTCGAACCCATTTATCTCTCCTTCCAATATTGAATACACACGTTATCCTTCAACAGACACCACAAATAATTCAAGGGTTTCTCTGAAATTCAGAGCGAGAAAATAATGTTTGCAACAAAAAGTCTATTTACAAAGATGCTATATAATTTTTTTATTTTTGAAACTATTACCATTTGTATTGAGAAGGAATAATTAGATTATGATCATAGGTGTACTGGATAAAAAATTCCATACAAGAAAACCACAACATAAAAAAATGGTGGATAGCTCAAAAAATGCTATACAATCAGATTATGAACATAAGTATATCAAAAAGTTCCCCTGCATGTCTTCCCAAGGGATATCAAAAAATGTGATGGCATGAAGAATTAAGCCAATCAATTGGCCTCCTCAGGCACATTGCGTTGGATTGTTACTCATGCTTTCTTGATGTTTACTTGTGCTCCCCATAGCTATAGACCTCTGCTGCTCCTCAGCCACTTCACCTCGACTGCTAGTCATCCACCATTGGGAATCACTTGTACACCTGCACAAAAATATAAAAAATATAACGGAGAATATATGATCAAAGGTGATTGATTACTATTGAATAAAAAACAAAATGCATGTCAAATAACATAAAAAGATGAGTTCGTATGAATGTTTGTATCAGTAGATGAGTACAACAACAACATATCAGTGGATGGTAATACATCATGTCTAGTGCACCAAAATGGCATGCATCTTAGTATGATGAACCAAGATCGGTTCAAGTGAAGTCTAACATGTCAAAGTGCACAAAATCTTTGAAATTGACATCTGAAATCAATTTGGTAGAAAACATCCAAGAACAAGATGAAAGCACAAGCTTCATCCATTGACGCTTTTTAGCAAAAGCTACACATAATTTTTACACAATGACTCACGCCATATCAGTGCACATTTACACTGATATATCAGTGTACACACTGATTGCACACTAATATATCAGTGTAAATGAGTGTGTAGTGTAAATCAGTGTGCACACTGATATACAATGATATATCAGTGTACAAACACATAGCAGGAACTTTGCGTGTCATTTCCCATGATATACCACACACTACCAAAATCGAGTAAAACCAATGAAGCGCCCAATTAAACACCTCTAAATTGCCCTATTGTTAGCAAATGAAAATGAGATCATTACTCGCAAATAAAATCCAATCATTGAAGTAACAGAGAATTACTACATATGAAAGATGATTAAAGAAGACTTGTACCATGTGCCAGCAGGACCAATTGCGCTTGTCATGACCCATGACTCCGCATGTATTGCAATTTCTCTTACTTGCCATCTCCAACCCAGATTTGCATCTCGCAATGCCAGGTCGTCCTTTTTGCTTTGCACATAGTCACATGTGGGTTCGAACCCACATACAGGACGGGAGCTACTGGAAGGGTTGCACATAGTTACATGTGGGTTCGAACCCACATACAGGACAGGAGCTACTGGAAGGGTAGGAGTCCGCATGGACGTAAGGTCACTATGGGTAGAAGATGCTAGTTTTGTAGAAGCATTCTCCATATCCACTCTAGCAGTAACCTTCTTACGTGCCTCTTTCAAAACAATCTTTGCATATTCTCATGCACCTGGACTTACTGCCCCGATAGTTGCCACCATGTTGGCCCATCGATGTAGGTCATTGAAGCATGTGGAATAGGTATCATCACAACGATCCCATATTCGAACCCCATAGCCATCAAGATCAACCAAATCGAAGAGTTGGGTTGCTCACTTGGGTTGCTGAAGAAGGCGTTGCGGAATACGTCTTCAGCGAGCTCTGACGGTTGTAGAGTTCGCGTGCCGGAACCTAAACCGTTAAGTGGATCCCACGATACGAAGGAATTTGAGAATTTCTTTTGGGACATGGACCAGTACTTAGAAGTTCTGTATGCCCCTTTTTGGTGGGTTCTCATGAATTGTGGAATCAGGAATTTCAAACACGGGATTTCTTTCGGATAGTATACATGATTGGCTAAATATGAAGTAGATAAATATAATTATAAATCGACTACAAGAAATAAAACAAATATAAAAAATAACCACAATACCATACGATTTATATGGTTCATCTCATAGAGCTACATCTACGACCGCGACAACTAGAAATCCACTGTCACAATAAAGATTTCAGTTTTGAGTTATAAGAGATAATATCTATGTCTAAACATCGGTAAAAAACCATCACCGATCTTCTTTTTTAAACCCGCTCTCTTGATCGAACAACATTGTCGATCAACCTCTTTCCCACCGCAATGTTGCCACTGGAAAGATAACATGGAGAACAACATAAAGATTTTCTCTTTCTAAAAATGGAAGTTAACCAACTCAAAATTCATATGAATACCGCATCTTTTTCGGAGGCCATGTCTCTCTCTCTTGGAGACCCATCTCAATATTGGAGATCCACTCTCATATGACCTTCAAAATGATGAATATTATGTCATCCTTCACTCTTTTATCAAGATATAACTTTCTTTCTTCTTAAGAAATTCAATTTTCTATTTTCCATAATACTCTAATCTTTAGCAAAAAAAATATTGATATGGTGATTTAGCTATCACCAAACCCAACACCTTTGTCATATCCTTTATCCATCATTGCATAATACAACGATAAGGTAACTCAAGGTTATTTTTTTTTAATAATACCCTAAGCATATGACTACATGGAACACCATGCGCTCATATAGGTGTCAGCTACATGTTGCTTTCTTCTTAGTACCATTAAATCAACTGTGTGTGCTAAGTGACGTAACCCCATATATGTACAACTTGAAAGCTCACAACACCCCATTATCCTCTTGTAATTTAAGATCATTAGCTCCCACTAACTCTAGTTGGAAAAAGTCTTGAAAGACAATGAGGGTATAAATTTGAGCCATTTGCTTTTTTATTTGATTAGTGTGGTATTTTGTTGCGAGATTCAAAGCCTAGAGTATTTTCATCATCAAAACTTTTTATCAATTAATTCTTGAGTTAAGTTGGTTTGAGAATTCATGTATGCCTTAATGTCTTTATTCATAACTTCACATCCCCCACTAGTATAATTTTCCAACAAGGAAAATCATTTGCTTCTTTATTTGACTAGTGGTCTTCATAACTGGTGTTTTGTTGCGAGATTCAAAGCATAGAGTATTTTCATCAACAAAACTTTTTATCAATTAATTCTTGAGTTAAGTTGGTTTGAGAATTCATGTATGCCTTAATGTTTTTATTCATAACTTCACGTCCCCCACTAGTATAATTTTCCAGCAAAGAAACAATTTTGCAAATATGCACCCATTGATCTCGAATTCCATATAAGGAACGAAGCCATTCATGATCCTTTAGATCATATCTTTCAAACATTCTTGACCATCCATCTTCAAATTCCATAGGTGTGGTACAATGGTCAACGCAATTGTAGAAGTCCTGTCGGAATGTTGGATGTCTATGCTCAACTTGCCTCATTTTCTTCTCAAATTTGTGTATAGTATGCCACCTGCACAAGCGATGCGGAACTCTAAAAATACCTTCTTCATGGCAAAGACCATTGTCTTATCTTGGTTAATTATGATTGTCTTGGGTTGGCGTCCATTCATTACCTCAAGCTACTTCGTAAACAACCATATAAAAGAGTCCTCATCCTCTCTCTAGATCAAAGCACACCCTACCTACGACGATAGTTTATATGTGGTGGTTTACTCCTAAAATTGAGGCACACATCATCTTATAGGCATTGGTATTGTATATAGTGTCAAATGTAATGACATCTCCAAATAACTCACATACCATTCTTGATTTTGCATCAATCCATAGTACATTAGTTAGATGCCCATCTTGATCAACTTGTATCATGGGTTCGTGGTAATCTTTGCGGCAAAGAACTCCATCAAGTCCTCTGCATCCCCTCTTACCAATCCATTCTTGCAAAATCTTGCTCTATAAAAGAAAGACTCTTTCGATTTTCATCCACCACGTTCATAATTGTTTGTGCACCTAAACCACATCAGCTATACATATGGATCAATTCTCTTGTGGGCTCGGGAATTTTACGATGTAAACAAAGGAGATGAACTTTGGATGGTGAAGTCAAGGAGTGAGAATGCTCTTTATTATGCTTCGCAATGAACCATTTACCAGACTCATCTTTCTTGATTCTTAACATAGCTTTGAACTGCATCCTTGTATGGCACCTGGATCGATTCCCCTAGATATGTGTCATATAATATTTTGATATCACATTATATAATATTAGAGAAAGTATATAATGATACTATTTAGTTTTAGTACAAGATGGTCACAATTAATTTTGATCATTGGATGTGAAATTAGATGGTTATATTTACTCCTTTGGCCAAACTAAAAGTTCATAAGAAATTTCTTCGAACTTTGTGACACACCCAAACTATCAAATTTCACATCAGATGATCGTAAGTAATTGTGAGATCCATGTACTAAAAGTAAATAGTTTTATTGTATACATTCCTATCATATTATATTATATAGGTTAGGGTATGTTAAGCCGTTAATATGTTACAAGTGCCAATTATTTTTGTAAGACACCTGTTCACCAAATAGATATGGATGTTGTCGTTATTTATGGTATGATATATGACACGGTGATATTCCAATATTATATATTACATGATTTATAGATAAAACGTGAGGTACTTTAGTGAGCCAGGGGTTAGTTAATAATGTCTAATATTACTATAATTAGTAATTTTAAACTAACGGTTATCATTATTAATGGCTAATGGGATATCGATATTAATGTTGGCTAATAATACAATTACTACTATGATAATATCAATAATGACATAAATATTAATGTTAATTTATCTATCATATTATTATCAATTATTTATAATTTATATTGATATCTATCATATGATAATAAACTATTTAGAATTACATAAATGATAGATAATAAGATTGTACGTTACATGACATATATTAGGGATTTTTATTAAAAAGGCTTTACTAAATTCTATTTCTCCCCTCGGGCAAATGGACTACTTTGCCCCTTTTTTAAAACTAAATTCCTAGTCATATTTTTCTCATCTTGCACAATTTTTTTCCTATAGTTTTTGTATTACCTCCCCTCGCCCGAGCACATGTACGGGTTAAACTCGACATCTTTTTTGTGAGCAATGCATTTGTGGGAAATCCATCTGTCTCAAGACGTTTAAGCCTCAAGGCAGTTGAAATTGATAGCCGTATTGAGATGCATATAACTCTTCACATCCAACAGCTAAAAACCATCGATGAAAGCTGTTTGAATTTCAACAATCATTTTGTGAAGTAAACAACATGAACTGTTCACTTGAACAATAAATCATATCCACCAAACACTCTATAAAATGGAGGAACCTTTTTCCCATCTCGTGACACATGCTTTTCCATAATATTCTCTGCGAAGTTATAGAGAGCACAACATGGCACTCATCCTTCTCTCTACTCGTTTTTCTCTCTTTCTCTCGCTAATAACACGAGACTCCGGTGTTCTAGGGCTTCAAGTTTGGGTGCATAAAATCTTGAAGCATTGAAAAAAGACTTGTTTTCATGTATCTTGAGGATGAGTTGCTCTTTTTTATGAACATGTTTCACAGTCTCAATGGGGAGCAAATATCGTCTTGAGAAAACACTATGTGTGCCCAAAAACAACAAGGCTTTTGCGTATTTTCTTTTCATTTTTTGCTCCTATTTCACCCAATCGATTTTTCAATAGCATTATGGTGCATGTTATTCGTATACGACATAGTTTTGATCTATGAGACCTGAGACATCGTCACATAAAATTAGATCTTAGATGAAATACTCTAGAATTTAAAGGTTTTAAAATTAGCAAGACTAAGACAAAGGATGTTGAATGCAAATTTAATAATAATGGAGTAGAGACAAAGAATTAGTTAATATTGACAATCAACAAATACCAAAAAAGAGTGCATTTCCGATATATTCAGTAGATATTAGAGATGAGTAGACAAAGTGGATATGTGCAACCAAAGTTTTATATAATCACCGCATACCAATAAAGCTAATGGGCAAGTTTTATAGGACTGCCGTGGTATTAGCTTTGCTTTATGAGGTGGAAGTTGGGCTATCAAGAAACAACATACCCATAAGCTGAATGTGGCTAAGATGAGATGTTGAGATTGATGAGTGGCAAGATAAGAAATGATAGAATTCGAAATGAATATATTCGGGAGAACTTAGGTGTTATAACAATAGGCGATTAGATGCGATAAAGTAAACTTAGGTGGGATAGTCATTTGTAGCTCTCACCCAATACAGTACCTATTAAGAGATGCGAGTTAATTCAAATGGAAGCCTCAAAAAAGACAAGAGGTAGACCCAAAATGATATGGTTGAAAGTAATGAGAAAATATATAGGGAATTATGGCTTCACTGAAGGTATGACCCTTGATAGAACTAAATGGTGGATCATGATTCGTTTAGCCGATCCCAAATAGTTAGAAAAAAGGCTCTGATGATGTTGATGAATATAGAAAATAAAAAAAATTCCAGAAAAAAAAAGATCTTTTTGGCATTACAAAGTATAAGTAATGAGTGCTACAAATTTTGAGGGCTTAACTTGCTGTCTTGGCAAAGTGTTTGTTCTTGTGCACCAAGGTCTTGGGTTCGAATCCGGACATCTTGGCAAAGTGTTTGTTCTTGTGCACCAAGGTCTTGGGTTCGAATCCGGACATCCAACCAGTTTGTTACATACCATGGTAAGTCTCCTAGGAGACGTGTGATACTTTTGGTTTCGGTACACGAAAAAGAAAAAAAATTTAAAAGTAAGTTTTACAAATTTTAGAAACTACTCAAATGGGGCAATGGCTTAGTAGGCCATCCTGGTAAATCTAGGCTTGGGGCAGGCACTAGCTTTAGGGCTACGCTTGGGCCTAAAATGTGAGCTTGGTGCCCAGGCCAGGCTAGGCCAAGCCCAAGGGTCGTGGCTAGGCCCAGCCCAATCCTACTTTTTTTGGTGTTCTTTTGCATATTTAGAAAACAAGAAAAACTAGTATCTACTAGCTTAGCTAAGCAATCCCATTAATACGGCCCGGCAGGGCCAACTAGCCAAAGAGTAGGTAAGATCCTAGGCCTGGGCTCCTTTGGTCTGGTGAGAACCAAGTTAGGGTTGGGCCATTCATGAACCGGGCTAGGGCTGGCCCCGGTCTGTTGCCACCCTTGATTTCGCAAAAGTGATTCATAAATATCGACGATGTCAAAGTTCTTAGAGGGACCAAGTTGGCCACATCACCTTTTGTATTATTTGGTAACAACCTTTGAATTTACATCGTACTTTCTATATTGTTTTCATATAAATACTGTTACTTTCTATAAATGATAACCAAAAATACCATTGGTAATTCTATGCTCCCTCAAACGTCTTCATTCAATTGATAGTATTCTCATTAGGCTAGTCCACAATGATCTATGCACCCCTATTTGAATAAAGGGTGTGGCTTCTATAAGGTTGCATCGGCAAGCAATCCATTTAAGGTGCACTTCCAAATTTGATCATATATAATTTTGATGTAAGAAATTCCTAAGATTATCTTAAAATCTCTTTTCATCTCTAACTATAAAATTTAAAACTCCAAAAATGGATAAAATCAAGTAGATCTATAAACATATGAAAATCTTGAAAATGAACAGTCTAGATAATCTATTGCAAGATGCACTATTTATGGGACTCAAAATCCTTTTTTTTTTTATATTTCTACATCTCGATGTCGAGATGATGAATTAGAGGGTTTTTCAACATTAAAACAACCTTTTCTAATGGATTTTTGAGGTGCATCTGTGATTCAACATTTTAAAGTTGCAACCTTATACAAACTTTTCCCTTGAATAAAAGGAGCTTCCTTTCCCCTCATCTATTAAGCATACTTAGCTCTCTCTCT